CCTGTCACGGTCGTCGCGCGAGACCTTCCCGGGGATCTCGGCACGGGATGGGCCAGTCCGTTCGCCGGGGCCATGGTCGGGGCAGCCAAGGAGCTAGGCCAGCCCGCGATCCTAGCCGATTCGCTTCGCCATTGGGCACAGATTTCCAAGGAGGGCCCGTCCACGGGTGTCAAGGCAAGTTGACCGCTAGGAGTGCTGGTATGGATATCACGGAGGGCACCTTGCTCATTTCGATTGTTGTTCGGCAGAGAACGAGGGTGTGCGAGTATTACACCGACGACGACGACAGCGACGGCAGCTTGTTTGCCTACACCAAGAGCCTGTTTCCAGACACCCAGCGCATCCCGGCAGAGGCGCTGCCGCCGCGGTGCCGAATTGGCTTCGCCTTCCACACGGTGGTCATCAACCCGGACGTCTTTCTGCCGTGGATCCGCGGCCGCTTGGAGCAGCAGCACGGCGTGCGGTTCGTCCGCGCCGAAGTCGCCTCCCTGGGCGAGGCCGCGGCGCGCGCCGGCGGTGGTGCCGTGGCCATTGTCAACGCCACGGCGCTCGGCGCCCGGGTGCTCGCCGGCGACGCCGCCGTGGTTGGCCACCGCGGCCAGACCCTGTTCGTGCCGAGCGACTACGACCAGACAAAGATCACCCACGGGTCCGAGTACACGTACGTGATTCCGCGGCCGGGGTCCGGCGGCGTCATCCTCGGCGGCGTGAGCCAGGAAGGCGTCACGGACGGCGCCGTCGACCCGGCCACGCGCGCCGACATCCTGCAGCGCGTGAACCGCCTGACGGGCAACGCGTTTGCGCACGTCGACCTGGCGCGGGACGTCCGGCGGGACCTGGTGGGCGTGCGCCCCGGCCGGACCGGCGGTTTCCGCCTGGAGCGCGACGACGGCAACAGCAACGTGGTACACGCCTACGGCTTCAAGGGCAACGGCTACGCCTTTTCGTTCGGGGCCGCGGAGCGGGTCCGGGAGCTGGTCCGGGACATTACGAGGCGCCAGAGAGCACGGCTGTGATTGACGGAAGAGCGCCTGAAGAGTCTTCCGTTTTCTCGTGGAAAGAGATCCAAAAAAATAAAAATAAAGGAAAGACAAGACGAACGATACGTAAATAAAACTCTTTTCCACGCCCTTTGGTTACACGCCAGTTGAGCCATTACTGTGAGATCAACGCAACTTCCCATGGCAGACTAAGCTTCAATATGTGTTAGCCACTGTGATCTGGGAATTCCACATTATGCGTAAACCGCGTCCCTTTGACTCGCAACACTTCACGACGATGAAAGCGAGGCTGAGGTGCAAGTCTGAGGGGATAAGCATATATGTAACTATAGCTAAGGCGATGTAAACCGACCAATTAGATGTCGTTCCTTCTGCCACCATGTCACGTGATTTAAAAATTACATAATGCCAGCTGACCGTCTTGCCGCTTCGCCGGTCTGCCAGCTGGCAGAGCTATTCCGCTGCCTTCCCGAAAATGGCTCTCGGGCAAAACCGCCCGCGCCAACCAGCCAATGCGCGAAATGCAATACCAAACCACCAAAGAACCCCCCCCTAAGCAGAAGACAAAAAAAAACTAGCCCCAGCTCTCGCTTCCTCTCTCTGCCCGTTTTTTGCCTGTCACCCCATTCGCATCGAGAGGACACACAAACACAGCCAGTTGAGGTCCGTTCCCCGCCACGCCGCCGTCTGGACTCCGTCGGTTCATTTTTTTCCCCCTTTGACGTTTTTTTCTTCATCGACACAACAAAATCCAGCCATGCTGTCGAGATCGGCCGTCTCAAGGGCAAGCCAGCTGGCCCTCCGGCGGCAAGCCGCCCACCGGCCGGCGACCCGCGGGTATGCCGCGGCCGCCGCTGCCGTCTCCACGTCGTCCTCCGCGTCCTCGTCTTCTTCCGTCTCCTCCACGGCCGCCTTTGAGCCCACCAACATCGGCGGCATCACCGTCGTCTCCAAGGATCCGCAAGGCCCGGCCACGAAGCTCGCGGTGGTCGCCAAGGCCGGTACCCGGTACCAGCCGGCGCCAGGTCTGACGGCAGGTCTTGAGGGATTTGCGTTCAAGGTGAGAACAGCGAGCCCGGAAAGAGGAATTAAGGAAAGGGGGGTAGAACTGGGGTGAACTCATTGCCTTTTTTTTCCCCTAGAACACTCTAAAGCGTTCCGCCCTCCGGATTACCCGCGAAAGCGAACTCCTCGGCGGCCAATTGACCGCCTACCACACCCGCGAGGCCATTGTGCTCGAGGCCAACTTCCTACGCGAGCACCTGCCGTACTTCACCGAGCTGCTCGGCGAGGTCATCTCGCAGACCAAGTTTACTAGTAAGCTGCATGAGGAGGGAGGACGAACCATATTTGGATATACAGAGGGAAGCGGACCATGCTAACCTAAATCTCCTCTTCCTTTCTCCCCCCTCTCCCCCGACAGAGTACGAACTCGACGAGGACATCCAGACCTTCCTGCACCTGAAGCAGGCCAAGTACGCTGCCGACCCGCTCGCCGTGGCCCTGGACGGCGCCCACGCCGTCGCCTTCGGGGGGAGCCGCTCTACCCGTCCGCGACCACGCCGCTCGGCAACTACCTCCACGAGGACAACATCGCCACGTTTGCCGAGACCGCCTACGCCCGCCCCAACTTTGCGCTCGTCGCCGACGGCGCCACCCAGGTGGCGCTCGCCAAGTGGGTTGAGCCCTTTTTCAAGGGCGTGCCGTCGGCCGCCGGCGCGACCAGCACCCCCGCCGCCTCGGCATACTACGGCGGCCAGCAGCGCACCGCGTCGGGTGCCGGCAACGCCGTCGTCGTTGCGTTCCGCGGCGGCGGCGGCCGTGCGGGCCCTGCAGGGCGTGGCGCAGGGCGGCGTCAGTAAAGAGGACGTGGCCAAGGCGGTGGCTAAGGCCAAGTTCGACGCGCTGACGGCGCAGGAGCCCGGCAGCGCCGCGGTGACGGCCACGGCGGTCCTGCACGGTCTGGCGCCCTTCCAGCCGGGCGCGGCGAGCAAGAGCTTTGAGGCGGTGACGGGCGACAAGCTGAAGGCGGTATGTATTCCTTTTCTTTTTACGTGTTCATTTTTTTTTCTTGGCCCCCCTGGTACAGGAATCCCATGCTAACCATCTCCGAAGCTCGCAAAGAAGTTGGTCGAGGGCAAGGCGACGTACGCAGCGGTGGGCGACCTGCATGTACTGCCGTTTGCCGAGGACATCGGCCTGACGGTGTAAACGAGTAGGGCGGCTGTGTCTACTATTTGCACTGCGGTCGGTCTTCTCCCGCGTTTTGTTTATCTCGTCTGTTAGATTTTGAGTGGATTATCGAAGTAGAAGGAGGAAAGGGAAAAGGAGAGAGAATTCAGGGAAGAGGGGGGGGGTAAAACGAGCTTTGTTTTTTTGTATCAACAGTCGTCTTGACACCGCCGGTAGGCACATATTCCTTCTGCCGGCCGGGTTTGTCCCCCTTTGTCCCATTTGTGCATAGAAAAACCCAATCTCTTTACTTAACCCAGACCTGTCCCAAGCTTGTTTCTGATATTGTTGCCGTCTAGAATTTTATACGTGTCATATCTAGACGGAAAACAAGGAAAATAACTGACAGATTCGTCTATTCCCCATTCTGTATTATTTTTACCACAGTATTACTTGAAAAGAAAAGTTGTTTGCTCATTTTACTCGATGTAGTTGAGACGGTTGACAAGCGAGCTCTCCGGTTTGATAAAAGGTCACGTGATTATATGAGCGCCGCCGGAATATGTCGCGCAACCGAGCTAGTTATCCGTCGCTCAACTTTTTCCCGGTTGTCCCCCATCTTCTTCCCCCCAACAGCGACAACGCCGACCCTACATTTCCTTCCACCACAAGCCATCTCGAGTCCTCATAATACCAAATCAATCGCGTCTTGCATTCAAATCCGTTCAACATGGTGTTCGCGTGGAAAGCCGCCGGCCTGACGTGAGTCAATTGGATGCCCCCGCCGTGCGGAATGTTGAACATTTGAAGATACGAACAAAAGAAGAAGAAAGTTTTTTGGTAGAAACTAACCGCTTCGCTTTCTAGGTACAACCGCTACCTGGCGATTGCCGGGCGTGCCGTGCGCCGCAGCCTGAAGGAGGACAAGCGCCTAGCAGCCGGCCGCCGGGGCGAGCTGGAGCTGCGGTTCTCCAAGTGGGAGGTATGGCGAAACGAGCATAAACAGAACCCCGGACGGAAGCGGAATGCGTTGGGCACATTGCGAGAACAAGTAATCAAGCTAACGTGAAACAAAAAATAGAACGGCAAGCAGGGCGAAGCGAAGAACCTGGCCGACGCCCAGTTCACGGCGACCGCCCAGGGCAGCGGGTCCACGGCATAGAGGAAACGAGTCAGCCATGCCACCAGAACCTGCCAACGACTGCGCGTTGCATACGATCAATGAAACCGAGACGCATGGAGGAAGGGCTGTAAGCCGGAAGAACAAGAACGGTGGATAGACGAGGAGAAGGGTGGCCAGGGCACAGCCGTACAACCTCTTGCCTGTGTTCTTCCTCTGCCGCTTGACAATTGCAGTTGTGGGTTGCCAGGGCAAGGAATCTAGGACCAGCCTTTCTGTGTATATTTGGTGCCTAGAGGGTTTTTCGATTCTTTATAGAGACAGCAAAAAAGACAGAAATCATACGCTCAAACAAATGCTGCAAACAAAACGGCAGACCAAACGTAGACGCTACATGATGAGGTGCCTCTACAGATCAGCCAAAATGTGACCACTACGAGAGACATTGAATATGTGATGCTTCTACACTCCCTCAATACTTTTCACATCCGAGTTGACGTGCTTGTCGCCTTCGGCGTATCGCGGGCATTTTGGCTGTAGCGCAAAACCGCGCTACAAAATCTCCTTAGCATTTGATTTCGTATCACGTGATATTCTCTTTATCGTCATCTCCCTAAACCGCAAATTTTTGCAACAGCAAAACCGTCGTGAATTGTTTGTCCTGGGAAATCGGAGAATATATCCCAGTGCTCGGAACAAACGAAAAAATGAGCCCGAAACCGGTGGTTGGCCTTCTCGGCGGCGGCCAGCTGGGCCGCATGCTGTGCGAAGCCGCCGCGCCCCTCGAGATTGACATTGCGATTCTCGACGCAGAGAACGCGCCGGCCAAGCAAGTCAACCAGAGCGAGCACCACGTCACGGGGTCGTACAAGGACGCGGACAAGATCCGGCAGCTGGCCAGCCGGTGCAGCGTGCTGAGCGTCGAGACCGAGCACATTGACACGGAGATCCTCGAAGAGATCGCAACGCACACCGAGGTCGCCGTTCATCCGTCCTGGCGGACGCTGCGGCTGATCCAAGACAAGTACGAGCAGAAGGCCTACCTGGGCGCCCAGGGCATCCCCGTGACGGAGTCTGTCGCCATCGACGCAACGGGCGGCGACGACGCCACGCGGCCGTGTCTCCGCGACGTGTCGGCCCAGTTTGGGTTTCCGTGGATGCTGAAAGCCCGCAAGGACTCGTACGACGGCCGGGGCAACCTGAAGATTGCCAGCGAGGCCGACTGGGACCGGGCTGTGGCGGAGTTTGGCCAGTTCCGCTGCTACGCGGAGAAGTACGTGCCGTTCCAGTGCGAGCTGTCCGTCCTGGTCATCCGCACCGAAGACGGCGACGGACGGACGAAGCGCCTGCTGCCCTATCCCGTGGTGGAGACGGTGCACGAGGACAACGTGTGTTCGCGGGTGTACATGCCGCCGCGGACCACGCCCGCATCCGTGTGCAAGCGCGCGCAAGAGGTCGCCTGCAGCGTGGTGGACAAGCTGTGGGGGAGAGGCATCTTCGCGGTCGAGACCTTTGTAACCCAGGACAACCAAATCCTGGTCAACGAGATCGCCCCGCGGCCGCACAACTCGGGCCATCTCTTTACCGAAGCCATTCCTTACATGTGAGTAGGGATAACTTTCAGTTTTCTAGTTTTGCGTGCCCTTACGGATAATTGTCAGAAGAGACAAAAAGTTGATTAACACCCCCCCCCTCCCCCTCCGCAGGTCCCAATTCAAGGCGCAGCTGGCCGCGATCCTTGACGACCCCCTCCCTCCTGCGCTGGAGCCATACGTGTCGTCCAGCCTCATGATCAACATCTTGGGCGGCGTGCATGTCGATTCCCACCTGCCGCTGATCGAGAAGGCCAAGTCCATGTACGGGCCGAAGATGGCCGTGTATCTCCACCTGTACGGGAAACAGTCCAAGCCCGGCCGCAAGATTGGCCACATTACGGTGACCGGCTTGGCCGCGGGCATCGAGGAGCTCGAGGCGTTTGCGGAACCGCTGGTCAAGATCGCCGACGCGATCCGGCAGGAGAGACTGCACGCACACAGCGAGACGCTCCGGCCCGAGCAGGCCGCCGTCGGCAAAGCGCCAGAGCAGCCGCTGGTCCTCGTCACGATGGGCTCCGACTCGGATCTGCCCGTGCTCAAGGACGGCCTGGACATTCTGACCCAGTTCGGCGTGCCGTGGGACGTCGACATCACGTCCGCGCACCGCACGCCGGCCAAGATGGCCGAGGTGGCCACGCAAGCGGCCGCCCGCGGTATCAAGGTCATCATCGCTGCGGCCGGCGGCGCGGCGCATCTGCCCGGCATGGTGGCCGCGTACACGCCCTTGCCCGTTATCGGTGTTCCGGTCAAGGCGACGCATTTGGACGGGATGGACTCGTTGCTCAGCATATGCCAGATGCCGGTGAGTCCAGCGAATGCCAGAATGAACTTTTTTTTTCCTTCTTTTATTTCACCGAGTCTAACAAGCAAAATAGCGAGGCGTTCCGGTGGCCACGGTGGGAATCAACAACTCCACCAATGCGGCTCTCCTTGCCATACGCTGCTTAGGCGCTTTCGTCCCTGCACTTCTCGAAAAGATGAAAGCCTATCAAACACAAAACAAAGAGGTGGTGGAGGACAAGGCCAGCGTCCTCCGAGAGATGGGCGCACAAGCCTATCTTGCAAGGATGAAAAAAGCATGACCGGATGCATGCATTGGAGAGGGCACGCTTAGAGAAAGGCTCAACCGGCTTTAGAGAACAGCTACGAATACTGTAAATATGGGAGGATGGGCATATAGAGGCGAACCTTTGAATTTGCAGCTGCTGGGCAACGAAAGACAGATGCTTTGTCGTGGCCTCACGTCTTTCCATTGCATTTAGTCTTGTGTAGTCATCCATGGCCTTGAGCAGCTCCCGTGTAAGTTGGCCGCGTCTGTGACACCCAGGCCAACGTGCTTCGAAAGAATGCTGATAATATGTTTGCGTCGCCTTCATCCTGATGAGAAGATGAGAAGAGAAGATGAGAAGACGTGAAGACGTGAAGAAAGGTGACATTCGTTGGTCGGCCAGCAGCGCTTTCAGGTCGCACGTGACAAGAGCAGAAGAGCGAAATTGGAAGACCGCCCAGAGAACGGGCCAGTTGGGCAAAACAGGCCAAAACAAGGTTGCCCAAAACGTGCGCCTGCTCGTATGCTTCTTGTGATTTCATCAGATTATTTTCACGGATACCATGCTTGTACGGGAGTTACTAGAATTTGTGAAAGATGTTTGGTATTTTTTAGGTTAGCCGAAGTGTCTGGCGTTGCGGCTGCTTACGTTAGGCGAGGCTACGGTCAAATTTACTGGGCTTCAAGACTACGGAGCAATATAACAGTAGAAAAACAACGCAACGTCACCAAACAAATTGCATGCTGAAACACACGATCTTTGCCGGGATTTTTTGAGCGGGGGCCAGTTTTTTAACAATAAAATCGGGCTTGCCAACCCGGCCAGTACTTCTGTGCCACCCGACGATGCCGGACGATGAAGCCCAAGAGGCCGGGGACGAGGCCCGGGCATCCCAAGACGAATCCGCCGTCTCCCGCGGTATGTGTGGTGTGGCTTGTCGATGGGGTTCGTCTCATGTGGCTGACACCTCCCAGAATTGCGGCATCTTTCGCTCGAAGCGGAACATCAACAGCAGCAGCAGCAGCAGCAACGGCCATCCCTGCCGAGGATCCTGAGCAACGGCGTCGTGGCCACGGACATCACGGCTCGTTTTACTGCGGCGGCGTCCAGTACGTTTTTATGGCTTGTTTGATTTGCAGACATTCGTTTCTGGATTAACGTTGTGTCTTTAGCGCTGCAACCGGGCGAGGTCGTCAAAGATGGCTACTTCACCCTGTTCGAGTCTGTCGGGGCACTTGAGGTACGCTGGGCAACGAAGTTTTCTGTGCAATGGCTTTGCACATATACACACGCACCTGATGGCGTAGAAAACGTGACTTACGCTGGTTCCAGATTATGGACCCTAAGATGGACAGCGGCAGCGTCCCGGACGACACGCTCGAGGAAGACGAGTACGCAGTCGACCGCGCCTTGCTCCCTGCCGAGGTCATCGGTCTCATCGACCAGCTGTGGTGCCTAGAGGTCAGTTTTGGTTCCCGTTCTTCATCTCGTGGAAAGGAGCCTTCTCCGTCCTAATGGCGTCTTGCAGATGGCATGGCATCTTGGGTATCCGCTGTCGCAGACACTCCTCACCAGCGTCTACATATCCGCCATCTTAGTGCCGCAGCCGCCGCCGCCGCCGCCGCCAACTTCGCTGGAGTCGCTAGCCCAGGTCGATTTTGTTCGCGGGCGCCGTCCGGAGGACCTGCAACGGTCGCCAGCCCACGCCGTCCTGCGGGCTTACTGTCTTGCTTTGATCAAGACCTGTGGCCACGTCATGCAAGAGATCAAGGCGGAGCTGTTCTACGAGGTGGGTGGTAGCACAAGGCTGGCATGGGAACCGCTTTGCATGTACAACAATGCCCAAGACCATTTCCTCACTGACGTCGTCCTCCAGGAGGAAGACTTTTCCGCCAACACGTACAACCTGCCGCTGTTTGAGGACACCAGCCGCGACGATCTGCGCCAGATTCTGCAAGACGCGCGCGCCGCGGTGGCCGACGGTGTCGCGTCCCACGGGTGGCCCGCAGACGCCGCGGCCGCGCTGGCGGCCCGCCTCGATTTCCGGGACACGTTCTTTGCGGGGCTCGCGAGCACGATGCCGCCGCGGCCCGTCGTGCAGCCGGCCTTTGCCGAGGCGGCGCAGCGGTGGCAGCGCTTCTGCGAAGACGGCGCCGAGGCGGTCGGCATCCTGCAGTACGCCGAGCCGCAGAGTTTGTTGGTGGGTAGTGATGTGATGCGTAGGGGGAACTCCATGAAAATAACACGGACCAAAGGCTAACATCGCAGAACTACGTCCTCACCTTCCAGGCCAAGACCCCGCAGCCGCTCATCTACATCCGGTCGCTCGTGCAGACGCTGCTGTTCGCCGACAACATTGTGCTGGGCGCCCTCAGCATCCGCCAGCTCATGGACGACGACCTCGCGCTGGTCGCGGCGCCGGCTAGCGTGCTGCTGGACCGCGCCAACGACCAGGTCGAGGCCGTGCACGACCCGCGGTTCGTCGTCGCGCAGCAGATGGAGGAGTTCCGCCAGCGCGCGTTCCCCGCGTACGCCGACGTGTTCCGCACGTGGTGCCAGAACCGCAGCCGCGCGCGCCGCATGCTGTGCCACGCGCTGCAGGAGTGGGAGCGCGTGCAGCTGGACGCCGAGGAGCTCGACCAGCGGGTGCAGGCGGCCGTCGACCAATTGCCGGCGGCCCGTGGCGGTGGTCCGCCCAGGCCGGTGGACAGCCACAAAGACGACGACGCCGCCCCGGCGCTGCCCTTGTCGTCGTGGGCCTTTCTCTACAAGCTGCGCCTGATGGAGTGGGTCGTGCAGCTCGGGTTCGAGCTGGAGATCTACCAGCCCGACGAGCTGGCCGGCATGTACGCGTACTTGTGCACCCTGGCGAAGCGCCGGGTGCAGCACGCCGAGCGGATCCGATCGTTTACGCTGCGGAGCCTGAACGCGCACCGGCAGCGGGCGCCACACCAGCAAAGCGGACGGGTTGGTGGTGGTGGTGGTGCTGGTGGTGGTGGTAGCCGCAGCCTCACCCCCGAACAAGAAGCGAGCTTCACCCGCTCGCTGCTGTACCTGCGCACGACCCTGCTCGACGCCTCCGTCGTCTGGGAGCTCGCCGACGCGCTGGCCGGCCTGTACACGGCGCTGCAGCGGACGCGCGTGCTGCCCGTGCCGGCGCGGCCGTACGGCGCCGACGCGCTGCGCTACAAGCTGCGCATGCGGCCCTTTGCCGCCATCGAGCTGCCGGCGCTGCCGCCCGCGGACGCGTTCCAGAAGCACGTCGAGCAGGCCGACGTCCCCGTTACCGCGGTCCTCGCGAACGCCGCGCACGCGGTGGCCGGGGCGAAAAAGGGGTGCGAGGCCCTGGCGCGGTGCGGCGACGAGGAGGCGTTTGCGGTGCACTGCCACGGGCGGTGGCTGGCGAGCACCCAGAGCGTGCACAAGGCGGCGATTGCGACGGGGCTCGCCGTAGCGGCGCTGCAGCGGGCGGCGGACGGGGCAGCCGCACAGCAACCTGCTGGCGGCAACGGCGGCGGCGGCGGCGGTAACGACGACCCGACCGCCCTGAAACTCGCTGCGCAAGTGCCCACGCCCGACAAGTGCTACCATCCGTGGTGGATCGTCCCCAAGCTCACGCCAACAGCGTGATGTGTGGGATGCCCACGAATGCATAAGAGTGCAGGAGCAGCTGCGATGGCAGCGCTACTTTCATAGACATTGGGTCTTAATTAAAACATACGGGGCAGGCTTGTTCAAATAGATTTGATAGTTAAAATACCACCATGTACATGTCACACCTTTTTGCTTTCCGCGCGTTCGTACATATATACAAATTAGTTCCACCGCCCTGAGCCAGACAAGAGGTATATCGAAGTATGGACATGAAAAAGAAGCATGAGAGACGGCAAGACACAAAATACAAATTGAAACGCAGATTCAAAATACTTGCGCGCGGATAAACACAGAAACGAAACTTGGAAGGGGCATATACCGGCACACCCACTGATGCCCGCCTTTTTTATATATTTTTTTTCTTCTTTTACTTTCCTTGGTTTCCTTCTCTCACTGACGCAAAAGTCACTTTGGCGTCTACGCCCGCAGCCGCTTTGCGGCCATTGTCGATCGCAGCCGCACTGTTTGCGCGTACAGCACATCCTTGAACGCAAACAAAAAAGCCGCCGTCAACACGCTTTGCGTGATTTTCGGGCCGATGCCTGTGTTTGTTAGCAGAGAACGGAAAGCGTAGGACAAGTTCTAAGAATAAGCAAAGAAAGAAAGTAAGAAAGAAAAAACCTACCCCTGTACAGCCCCCCATAGCCCTCGGTCTGGACGACACGCCGCAGCGCCGCGAGGACACCACCGTTGCCGTCGGCGCTGCGGTTCGCCGCCACGTGCATCCGGCTCTTTACCGTAATGTACGGGTAGGTGATGGCCGTCGCAAACAGCTTGGTCAGCGCGCCCAGCACGAATGCGATGCCGGGCGTGATGGGCCGCCGCCGCTGTAGAACGTTTTTGAGCTGCTCGAAGAGCGTGTACTGCAGAATGGGGTTGGCGACGAGGACGAGCGCGGGCACGACGCCGGCGAAGAGGGCGCGCGGGCCCTCCTCGCGGAGGAGAGCGAGGAGGGTGCCGAGGGTGGAGGGCGACGACGAGGCCGGCTTGGGCGACGCAGAGGAAGCGCCAGCGGCGCCTCCCTCCCCTTCAGAGACGGCCGCCGCCGCCGCATCCGTTTCCTTCTCCATGCCGGCGGCAGCAACCCCTTCCTTGCCCACGGCGCGCTGCCGCGTCGTCATGCGCGTGTTGACGACCCAGATCGGGTTCGTCAGCACGACCGTGGCCGAGCCGGCGAGCGCGCCGGCGAACATGGACTCGAGCGTCGTCAACTGGCCGGCCACACGGGCCCGTGCGCCCGTGCCGGCGGCCCGCCGCGAGAGCGCCGCACGCGTCCACTCGTACCAGTAGTAGTACACAAAATTAGTCACGCCGATGCCGACGATGGCGGAGTCAAGCCCGGCGTAGAGCCCGCGGACGCCCTCGCGGGCGACGATGCG